TTTGCCCCGCGGGGGGGGGGGGGGGGGGGGGGGGGGGTGTTGCACTTTCCCAGCCTTTCGCAAACCTTTGCTCACGCAGGGAGCCTGAAGGAAGCACACAACCCCCCTCCGACCCCCCCCATACTGACACTAATGACCTGGCCACACTAACCAGTGGCGCTAACAACCTCGGGTCTGTCTCTCTTTTCCTCTCTCTCTCTCTCTCTCTCTCTCTCTTTGCCTGTCTTTGCTTTGGTGTCTTCCCACTGCTGGCCTGCCTGCCTGCCTGCCGGCCTGCCCCACACTGGTGGCCCATCTGGATGGGGAGAAGGGAGGATGGTAGCCCAGGCCCTCCGTGTGCCTGGGCCCGAGAGCGGCCTCCTCCTGGACCAGCCGGCGTCTCTGCGTGTGGGTTGGCAGCCCTTGAGCCGCTTTGCCCTTCCCCACAGTCTAGCGGCAGGTGCGCCCCTTGGAGGCTGCCTGTCCAGGGGGCGGGGCGGGGCGCCTCTCCTCCACGCATGGGGCAAAACAGGCTTGGGCCTCCTTGGTGGAGCATGCAAGACTGCAGAGGTAGCCTTCTGGGGATGAGATCCTGACACCAGGTGCCTGCAGTGACTCCAGACTTGCCGCCCCCCAAGGGCTGGGGGGGGGGCTCCCGCCCGCAATGGAGATATTGTTAAGCTCCTGTTGCTCCGGTGTGGACAGGGGGGGGGGCGGGGGGGGGGGGGGGGGGGGGCTTGTTCTTCAGGAGAGCAGCGTAGTGGCCGGGCGGTCGCCCGTCCCTTAGAGGCATCTGCCTTGCCAACCTCCCCTTGTGGGTGGGACTCTGCTTGGCCAGGTGCCCTGGGATCCATGGCCGGCAGGCTGGGCCAAGCCCTGGGCTGGGCTGGCCCCCTCCGGCCTGGAGCAGGCAAGCACAAATGGCCCAGCATTCCTCAGCCTCTCCCCGGCCCTAAGGGATAGAAGCTGGCCTCCTGCCCCCCCCCGCCCCAAAAGCAGAAATTCGGGGGGGGGGGGAAATTTGGGGATTTGGTGTGCCTTTCCCAGGCCGAGTGATGGTCTCGTGGGGGGGGGGTCATCAGAGCACTCCAGACCGGGTCCCAGGGAGGCAGTGGGGGCTGGGTCTCTTCCCCATAGAGGCCAGGATCGGGACCCTTCCCTCCCGTGTCGGAGATGCCGGTCTTGTGCGACTTATTCAGGTTTCCGGGTGAGTGGCGGAGCAGCGAGGAGGTCTTTTCCCTGCCAGTGCCTGACCCTTCGCTTACTCCTGGGACACGGCGGCTTCCGGTGGGGGGTGCCCAGATAACCTTCCAGCCCCTCTCAACCCTGGGAAGGGCCAGCAGCAGCCAGCCCTGTTTCTTCAGCGGATGGAGGCTGGGGGGGGGGGGCAGCCGTCTGTGTCTGCGACCTTCTGCGCTGTCGTGCACAGCCCTGGCCCACCCTCCGCGGAGACCTCTGCTGCTGCTGCTGCTGCTGCTGCTGCGGCTACTAACTTGCTCTCTCACCCGCTCCCTGAGTGCGCATCTGTGTGGATGTCACGGTGCACTAACCCTCAGGGCCAGATCCTAGTTCTGTGTCTCAAACGCGGCTGCGCAAGCTCTTGTGTGTGGTGAGCCGGCCTTGGGACGGATGCGACCCAGCGTGGGGTGGGGTGGGGTGGATTGAGCGGCTCTGTGCTCCAGCTTCTCAGGGGAGTCGCACCAGTGGGACATCCGGGAGGGGCCGGGCAGGGGGGGAGGCCACGGGGGCTTTGAGACGCAAGACTGAGGACCCGCCCGGCCCCGTAACCTCTGGGCGCGCAGAGCCCCTCGCTAACCCCCGGCTTTGCATGCCGTGCTCTTGAGAAGAGTGTTTTCTCTCTCTCTCTCTCTGTCTCTCTCTCTCTCTGTCCTTTCTCTTCCATGTGTGTTGATTTCTCCCGGATTCAGGAGAGAGCAAAGGTTGATGCTGAAAGGAAGGAGCTGGAGAGACTGCGGGCCCTTTGCTCCGAGCTCCAGCACCAGCTTCACAGCTGCCCCGAGTCAATGCGGGAGCAGCTGCAGGACCAGCTGTGCAGGGTCAGTGCTTCCTCTTCTCCCCCTTCACCACCCCTCCGCCCGCGCCTGGGCCCAGAGGTGCCACTCAGCAGCAGCAGCTGGGGACGGTAAGCTGGGCAGCTCGGCCCGTGTGGCGGCGCTCTGCCAGGGTGTGCAGGAGGCCCCCTGCCCCTGCCCGGATGGACTCCCTCCTGCTTCTGGCCCGCTCGGCTCCTCTGGCCACCTTCTCACACTTGGGGTGCTGCCAGAGGCCAGACAGGCGGCTCTGGTGGCAGAAACCAGAATGCACTGAGCTGTGCTCTGGCCGCACATGCGCTGCACAAGGGGTGCACAAGGGCTTCTCTGGTGGGAGCCTGCAAAGGTGGTGGCAGCGGCAGTGGGTTGGGACCGGAGCCAGACCCCCCTGGGAAATGGTGGGCCCGGCCGGCTCCTTTCTGGCACAGGCATAACAGTGTGTTGGTCTTCCCGCATGTGTCAGCCTCCCCCCGAGGTTGTTGCTTCCCCAACCCCTGGCCCAGGGGAGCCTGCCTGCCTGCCTGCGGCAGAAGACCGGTGAGAACGCTCCTCCCCTCCTCCAGGCTGCTTCTGGCGCCCCCTAGCTGTCAGGAACGCTCCGGCGGGCTGCCCAGGAAGACCCCTCGATGCAGTGGCTCTGCTCTGCCCTGCCCTGGAGAGGGTCACCTCCTCCTCCCCCACGCCCCACTCTCACCCGGCCCCTCTGCGGACCTTTCCTGAGCCGCCGCCCCCCCCCCCCCGGTTTTCCCCCCCCCCGGGGGCCGGCTGGAGACGGAGGCCAAGGTTTTTGAGGACCTGGAGTTCCAGCAGCTGGAGAAAGAGAGCCGCCTGGAGGAGGAGCGGGAGGTGCTGGGCCAGCAGCTCCTCCACAGCAGAGCTGAGAGCCACCGGAGCGTGGCCCGCAGGAAGGTGAGCCGCCCGCCCGCCCACTGGGGATCGTGCCGGGGAAGGGCCCCCACCCCCGCCGGCCGGCCGGCCCTGGCTCAGCAGCGGCCTCTGCCTTCCCCTGCAGGAGCGCATGGCGGCCCTGGAGAGCCAGGCCAACCAGATCCGGCTGCAGGCGGCGCAGGAGGCGGAGCGGCTGGGCAGGGAGAAGGCCGCCACCCTGCAGCTGCTGCAGAAGGTGAGGCTGAGGGAGTCTGGCCCAGCAGGGCAGGGGGAGGGAGGGGAGGAGTGTCCGGGGCTCCACCCTGGCCTCCCTGCCGCACTCGCAGGGAAGGGGGGGCCAGGGAAGCCGCCAGCCGGCCAGCAGGTGCTCACAGCGGCCTTCCGGTTTCTCTCCCCTGGGACAGGAGAAGGACGCCCTTCTTGCGCTGGAGAGGCGGTACCGGGAAGTCACAGGTGGCTCCGGCTTCCCCAAGGCCTCTGCTGCCCTGCGAGAGGTAATGCCTTCCCTCCTGTGAGGCCCACGGCGGGGCGGGGTGGGGGGGGTTGTCATTCCTGGGGGTGCAGTGCCCTGGCCCCTGCTGTGAGAGGCTTTGCTGACATTCTCCCAACAGATCGACAGGCCCTAATTTTCACCCTGACTCCCTCTCTGGATACGAAAAGCAGTGGATCAGACCCAAGAACAGATCAGGCAGATCTTTCTGCAAACCCTAGAAAAGCCCCAGGTTTGAAGAAGAATCTGAAATCTAAAAAGCAAAACAGAAAAGCGGTGCCTGTAGCTTGGAGGAGCAGTTGGGCTCGGGGGCTTTTCAGTTTAGAAAAGAGATGCCTGTTGGGGGGAGGGGGTGTCCCGGCTCAGGTGGGGGTGTCCCCTGACGCTGCCACCACTCTGGTTCCAGGCTCCCTCGAGAAGGCCCAGAGTACCCTCCCAAGACCTTCAGACCTCCCTTATTTGGCCAAATAATAGGCCTGAGGACCAGGCAGAGTGAACAACAAGGAAAGGGTTTGTTTTTACAGGCAGTCAGCCCAATATGGGGAACAAACAAGGTGCAAGAACAATATCAGTAAGGGGGTGAAGAGAAAAGAAACCACTGTCTCAGTTGGGCCCGAGTCTGCTCTCGCCCTTCCTTTCAGGGGGAGGGTCTCTTCCCTGCAGCAGCCTTCCTTCTGGCTCTGCCCTCTTAGAAGAAAGAACAGCTCTTCTTCTGTACCAGCTCTTTTGTTATAAGTCCCCTTTCTCTGTGATGGGCTAAAATTGGTGCCAAAACCTCTCAGGGGCTTCTGGGAGTTGTAGGCCCGGCCTCCTCCCACTGCTACTCAGGCTCCCTGGGCCTGCTAGGCCTTTGCATGCACAGCCCAGATCATGACAGGGGGGGGGGGCATGAGAGAGGTTTATGAAATTATGCATCGGGTGGAAAGAGAGGTGAGAAAGAGAAATTTTTCTCCCTCTCCCAACGGACTAGAACTCAGGGCCATTAAACGAAACTGATCAGCGGTAGCTTCAGGATGGAGCTACTACTTTACACAGAGAGTGCTTACAGTGTGGAATCTGCTGCCAGAGGATGTAGTGATGGCCACAGGAGTTCCACAGATTTATGGAGGAGAGGTCTATCAGTGGTTAGTAGCCACGGTGACTGAGGGGAACCTCCACATCCGGAGGCAGTCAGTCTCCGAATCTCAGAACCAGGAGGCAGCATCAGGGGAAGAAGGCCTCGGCCTCCCTGCCCTGCTGTTGGCCCTCCGGAGGAACTGGTTGGCCCCTGTGTGAGGCGGGAGGCTGGACTGGATGGACCCTCACTGGTCTGACCCAGCAGGGCTCTTCTGATGTTCTTATCAGGGGAAGGCCTTGGCCTCCCTGCCCTGTTGTTGGTCCTCCAGAGGAACTGGTTGGCTACAGTGTGAGGCGGGAGGCTGGACTAGGTGGACCCTCACTGGTCTGATCCCGCAGGGCTCTTCTGAAGTTCTCTTGCAGTGGCTTTCTGGGGATCTGAGCAGAGAGGGGGCCTTCCTTTGAGCCAGAGGCGGTGGGCACAGGAATCGGGGCCTTCTCCACGCAGAGCATGCACTGGAGCAGATGCAACGGGGCCCTCTCTGCTCTGTCACTGTCTGTTCAGGTCCTGCTAGAGAGCAGCTTCCCGACCTGCTGCCGTGCACTTTGGGGGCCAAACTTGTACGGGCGTTTTCTCGAAGGTGTAGCCATGGGGAATTGGGGGGGGGGGCTTCTGCTCATCTTGCTGGACGCGGGGCGTTCTACAGTCCTGCCAGTTGCGCACTCTTTCTCTTGCACTTGTTGGAATCTCACAGGTGCTACACTTCAGCGTTCTCTTCCTTTTCTTCCTGGGGAAGCCCTAAGGTGGGAGTGAGGTGTGGAAGGACAGGCTGGGGGAGGGGGCCAGAGGCCCTGAAGGGAATGGCCTGGGGGGGGGGTCCCTCGCTGCCACTCCACCTGCCCTTTGCTTTGTGCAGGAAGGACCAAAGGAGGCTCGGGGTTTCTCTCGAGAGCCAGTTTGGTGTCGTGGTTCAGTGTGTGGACTCTAATCTGGGGAGAACCGGGTTGGATTCCCCACTCCTCCACTTGCACCTGCTGGATGACCTCGGGCAAGCCCTAGTTCTGACAAGAGCTGTCCTTGAAAAAGAGCCGTTTCTGTCAAGAGCTCTCTCAGCCCCCCCCCCACCTCACAGGGTGTGTCTGTTGTGGAGAGGGGAAGGAGTTTGTAAGCCGCTCTGAGACTCCGAGTGAAGGACGGGGGACAAATCCAATCTCCTGCTTCTCCTCCTCCTCCTCCTCTTCGTAGTCGGGGTCACTGGGGGGCCGTGTTCTTTCCCTCCCACACACACCTGTCCTCCCATTTAAGCTGCAGTTTTCACAAGGCCTCGTGTCAAACGGAGGTGCCACCTGTGCCCCTCAACCCCCCTCCCCCCTCGGGCCTGCTTCTCCCATCCGAACAGGAGCGGCTTCCTCTCTCTGAGCTGGTGGAGGGGGGGCACCCTGGCAAGGCCCCCCACGCAGCTGCCTCCCCCACCCAGCCCTGCCAGAGGCAACGCGTGGCGCATGCTTCTCTCGTGTGCCTCCCCCGGGCAGATGGCTGATGCTTCAGGATCTGGCTCCGGGAAGGCAGCCCCCCCCATCCGCCTGCCCTGCTGCCTTGCAAGCCCCCTCCCCCTGCAGCCTCACGCCGGCTGCTCTGGTCGGGGTGGGTTCCTGGGAGCCAACTTGGGCGGGGGAGAGCTGGCCGAGACTCTGGGCAGGGCGGCTATAGGGCTTGTGCCCACCCCCCACTGCCTTCTTGCTGCTCTTCTCCAGTTGCACCCCCAGGGGTAGGGATGTGCAAAAAAAAAAATTCAGTAAAATTCGGATTCGGGTTTATTGAACCCGAATTTTTTCGGGAAACCCGGAAAAACCCGAATATCTAATTCGGTAAAGCATAGATATCCGAAAATATTCGGGAAACCCGAAAAATTCGGGTCCATTATAACCAATGGGGCCATTGAAGTCAATGGCAAAAAACCTCTTGAAACTTTGCAGGGGGGTGGGGGGGAGGGGGTAGAGGCTCCAAATCTGGACAGTGGCTGCTCAAGCCTCTCCCCGAAAGACCCCCAAAGTTTTGAGAAGATTGGTCCAGGGGGTCAGATTCCAGGGGCATCCAAAGAGGGTGCCCCCAATCCCCCCAGATCAGCTTGCTGTATATTCCCGGTTTGCCGCCGAAATTCGCATTTCAATGGGATTTTAACCTTCTGCTTTCCTTTTTACAGACCCCTGGGGGGGGGGGTTAGAGGGAGAGGCTCCAAATTTGGAGGGTGGTTACTGGAACCTCTCCCCAACATGCCCACCAACATTCAAGAAGATTGGACCAGGGGGTCCAATTCTATGGGCCCCCAAACAGGTTGCCCCCATCCCTCCATTGTTCTCTATGGTGGGAAAAAAGTAATTTTTTTCGGGGTTTCCCGAATTTTTTCGGGATTTTTTTTTCGGGATTCGGAAAAACGCATAGGAAGCCATTTCGGGATTGCAAAAGCCGAAAAAAGCCGAAAAACGTTATTTTCGGCTTTTTTCGGTTCGGGATCCCGAAATGCACATCCCTACCCAGGGGTGTCTCTCCCCCACCTCTGCCCCTCTCAATGCTGACCTCCTTTTCTTTAGGAAAGCCCCCGCAGTCCAAATCACACTGGGCCAGGGGGGGTGGGGGCCTTGAGCTGGCTCTGGGTCATCAGGAGTCCCAGTAGAGCTCCCCACAGGAATAGCGGCTCCAGGAGAAGACCAGTACAGACGCCCAAGGGAGGTGGGGGGTGACAGCAACCTTTGGCCTGTGTGTGTGTGTGGGGGGGTCTCTTTCAGGTGCAGGCCTGTGTGATGGGAAGGTTGTCCCCCCCCCGGCTTTCCTTCCATTGCGCAGCCAGTTTGGTGTTGTGGTTAAGTGCGCAGACTGATCTGGGAGTACTGGGTTTGATTCCCCACTCCTCCTCCACTTGCACCTGGCTGGATGGCCTTGGGCAAGCCACAGTTCTGTCAGAGCTGTTCTCTCACGGTCAGTTCTCGAAAGAGCTCTCTCAGCCCCACCCACCTCACAGGGTGTCTGTTGTGGGGAGGAGAAGGGAAAGGGGATTGTAAGCCGCTCTGAGACTCTGAGTGAAGGGCGGGGTATAAACCCAATCTCCTCCTCTTCTTCGTCACCTGGGCCTAGGGAGGGGGGCAGGTTGGGGTGGCTGTCTTTGGTCCAGGAGCTCTTGGCCGGCTTAGAAGCAGAGCCCCGCTTACGCACCCCTTCCCCCGGCTAAAGCTCACTGTGCTCTCAAGCCAGACCAGGAAACGGTTCACCTGTCATGTCTCCCTCCCCCCCTACCCCCCCCCCGAGGAGGTGCCACCTGTGCCGAGGGGCCCAGCGGTCACTGGCTGCTCCTTCCCCACTCAGCCGCACGTTCCCCCCCCCTCTTTTGCAGGCCTATCGCTCCAAGATGGATGTCCACTCCAGTGGCGTTGCGTGGCCAAAGAGCGGTGGCTCATCCTCACAGGTCAGTGTTGAGTGGGTTAGGGTTCATACGTGGGGGGGGGGGTTTTTAAGAAAAATGGTGGCATGTCGCCTGGCTTCTCCACGAACCCCCTCCACACACACACACCCCACGGCTGAACCGTTCCTCTCCCAGGCTGGATGGTCCCTGAAGCCCTGTTGCTTGTGTCCTGCAGAGTTCTCTGCTGCTGCTGCCACCATCGCCGCCTCCCCCCCAGGAGGGCACGGGCACCCTGCCTCGGAACCTGGCCGGCACCCTGCAGGAGATCGAAAACAAGCGCCAGCTGGCCCTGCAGCAGAAGGGTAGGTACGGAAGGGTGTGTGTGTGTGCTGCTGAGCACGTGCGGCAGCCGCCTCTTGCCCCGTGGGGGCTCTTGCGGGAGGGCCCCCCACCCCACCCCATCCCTTGCAGTGAGGCTGAGCCGGCTTTTGTCCCGGGCCGTCTCTGCAGGGCAGCAGGTGATCGCGGAGCAGCGGAGGCGCCTGGCAGACCTGAAGCTGAGGGCCGCGGCCGAGGCGCAGTCTCAGTGGGAAGCCCTGCACGGGCAGCCCCCCTTCCCCCCCTCGCGCTCCCCCCTCCTCATGCCCCACTCCATCCTCCACCACCACCCCCCCGGGGGCCTGGGCGGGGAGGAGCCGGAGCACGCCTACGACACCCTCAGCCTGGAGAGCTCCGACAGCCTGGACACCAGCCTCTCCACCAGCGGCGCCTCGGCCTGCTCCCCCGACAACGTCTCCAGGTACGGGCCGGCAGCGGGCCTGGCCTCGGGGAGACTCCCTCGCGCCTCCCTCCCCGGGCAGAGGCGGAGCCCCCAGGAGGGTGGGAGAGAGCTGCCCTCTGTCAGTCTTCTGTCCCCCCCCCCCCCCCGCGGGGCCCCCCCCTGGAGAGCCGTGAGTGAGTGAATACCCCTCGCCTCCATCCATCCATCTCCTCCATCTCACATGTGGCTCTCTGCGCCCGCTTGCCTGGCTCCCCGTGCTGCCTCCGCTCCGCCTGGGATGCAAGAAAGCACAAGAGCCCGCTTGCCTGGTGGAGGCTGGAGCCCAGGGCACTGAGAGACCTTGGGGAAACAGAGGAGGGAGTGACGGCCTGGCTTGGCCTTGCCTTGCAGTGCCAGCGGAGCTGATGTCGGGAAGATCGAGGAGATGGAGACCATGCTGAAGGAGGCCAACGCAGAAAAGTCCCGCCTGATGGAATCGCGAGTGAGTTGGGCAGCGGGGGGAAGATCTCCTGAGCAGGGGAGGGAGAGAGACCCTTTCCCCAGGTGGACCCGGCTGATCTCTTTGCTGGTGCTCCCTGGGAGCAGGTGCTCCCCCCCCCCGGTACCCTGGTAGGAAGGGGGGCCCAGCAGCAGCAGCAGGCATGAAGGCCTGGGATGCGAGCTGGCTTAGCTGTGCGAGAGCAGCCTGCCCACCCACCCCTGCCAGCTCTCTCTGCCTGGCAGACTCTAGAATGCCTGTGGGGGGACAGGGATGCGGGTGGAGCCGATGGGCAGGCTGCTAACCTGGCGCTTGCTGGCAGGAGCAGGAGATGGAGTTGCGGCACCAGGCGCTGGAGGAAGAGGGCGGCGGCAGCAGCTGGAGCGGCAGCTGCAGGATGAGGCCGTGCGGCGGCAGAGACTCATTGAGAAGGAGGTCAAGATGCGGGAGAAGCAGTTTGCACAGGTATGGGACAGGCGGGGGGAGGCAGGGATGTTGGATTACTGCCCAGGGCACGTGGGGTTACAGCTGCCCTCACCCTGCTGGGCGCAAGCTCCAGAATTCCAGGGTCACCTCTCCGCTACGAAGAGGGTGGCTTCCCAGTCTTCTCACTGCCAGCGTGGCATGGCCGTGCCTTCCTTCCTTCCTTCCTTCCTCCCTGCCCCTCGTGTTCGGGATGCCAGCAGTTTGCACCAGCGCTACAAGGTGCATGTGGCCATGTGCCGCTACATCCTGACCTCTTGCGTGCATGCCGTGGGGTGCCCCGCAGGGCTTTCCACACTGAACTGGATCAGGAACAAAACCCCTCGAAGGGGGCATTGCAGCCCGAGTTGCAGGGGTGGTTTTTGGGGGGCCAGGCCGCTGGAGTGGGTGAGATGCTCAGCACATGGGTGCTTTCACACTGATACAACAAGGTGGGGGAGGGCAAAAGCAGCGAGGGGGGGGGGGGGGGGGGGGGGTGGCATACAAATGCTGCCCCTACATCCCCTCGCCTCTTTTGCTCCTGCTTCCGCAGCAGGGAAAGGCTGTTCCTACCCCCATTTGGAAGCAAACCCCCCCCCCCGTTGCATGCATGGGCCACTTGGGGGGGGGGGGAGGCTTCCAAAGTGGTCCCACCTGAAGGTGCCAAGCTACAGCCTGGGCCTCGTAGCATCCCAAAAGTGACTCTGCTCTGTGTCCGTCGTCCCTGTCCCAGGCACGGCCCCTGACCCGCTACCTGCCCATCCGCAAAGAAGACTTTGACCTACGTGCCCACGTGGAATCATCGGGCCACAGCGTGGACACCTGCAGCCACATCATCCTCTCGGAGAAGATGTGCAAAGGCTACCTGATCAAGATGGGGGGCAAGATTAAGTCCTGGAAGAAGCGCTGGTTCGTGTTTGATCGGCTGCGGCGCACCTTGGCCTACTACGTCGGTAAGGCCCCTCCCGGCCCCGCCCCTGAGCTCCCCTCCCCCAAACCCTGGCTGGGCCTCGGAGCCTCACGGCCTCCTCCTCCTCTTCCTCCTCCTGCCCCCCGCAGACAAGCACGAGACGAAGCTCAAAGGCCTGATCTACTTCCAGGCGATTGAGGAGGTCTACTACGACCACCTCCGCAGCGCAGCAAAGGTCAGTGCCCGGGCGTGGGGGGTGGGGTTGGCGCTTTTCCCACAAGCAAGCCCCGAGCCTCCCCTTGGGCTCTTTCTCCCCCGCCTCTCTCCTCCTCCAGAAGGGATTCTTCTCCCTGAAGCGGGTCAGTGTAGGTACCGTCCTGGTTCTTGGCATGGCTTTCAGCCCCTCTAATCTTGGAGTGCCCACAGCGCCTGGCATTAATGGCCCCCACCCCGGCAGCTCAGCACAAGCGTAGGGCTGGGCATCAGAGGCACAAGACGCCTGGCGGCTCTCTTTTTGAGTTGAAGCTAAGGCGTGTGTGTGGGGGGGGAGTGGTTGCACCTTCTGCAGGGGGCAGGGAGGGGAGGGGGGCAGCTCTCCTGCACCTCCGCAGGACCTAGAGGGGACCAAGGGCCAGCATGAAGAACAGTCACACGGTGGGGGGGGATCAAGCAAAGCCCTCCTCAGGAGCTGCTAACAACCCATCCCTGCCTCACTAACAGCTACTGGTGCGGGGGGGGGGGGGGGGAGGCCCTGCCTGCGCCAGCCCGTTTAATGCTAGTCTGTTTCTGTTGCCTTCTAGCACCTAGCAGACTTTCTCCCTGCTCCCTTCAGTAGAGAGGTTTGTCTTCAAGCTCTCCTCTATCTCGGCCCCCTTCCCCCCCCCCGCGGCGCAGTGTTGGGTTTGGGCTTTCCAGGAGGGTCTCTGTCGAGAGAACTGACCCTTCACGTTCCCTCCCGGCAGAGCCCCAACCCGGCCCTCACCTTCTGCGTCAAGACCCACGACCGCCTCTACTTCATGGTGGCCCCTTCGGCGGAGGCCATGCGCATCTGGATGGACGTCATCGTGACCGGGGCCGAAGGCTACACCCAGTTCCTGAGCTGAGGCGCTCTTCCCGCGGGACTCGGCTCAGCCGCCGCTGACCCACCGTGGGCCTCCGTGCCAAAGACCCTGCCGGGCTGAAGGGGCCCCGTCCCCCTCGCCCGCCACTGCAGCGGAGGCAGCCCCCCGCAAGGCCGGCCCGGCCCCTGGTGCTGACTGCAGGGGCCCCCGTGGCCCTTGGACCCCCCACTGTGCTTGTCGTGGCCAGACCGAGGCCCTGCCCTCCACCGTGTGCCTCGGGTGGGGAGGGGGACAGAGGACTCAGCCCGCCCCCCCCAGAACGCCCATCCAGACCGCATTCTCCGCCCTGACCCTGGCCCAGTCGCCCTGAGGACAAGCACCCCCCACCATTCCCTCAGGACCCAGACCTCGGGGCCAGGGGACCGCCTCGGCCGCTTCTCTTGATTGAGGCAACGGCTCGTTTGTTTCTGGGGGTGGGTGGGTTGGAATAAAGCTTTGTAATTTCCACGGCCCTTTCAGTGACCGTCTTTCCCTGGCACCAAGGGAGTTTTCGGACTGCCGTGGCTTCCTGCGCTGCTTCCCAAAACAGCCCCACCCAGGTGTGTGCCCGGAGCTGCCTGGCTGAGAGGGGCCCTGCGGCCGTGGCAGGAGGCAGGCCCAGTTCCCCTGAAGCCAGTGCCCCCTCTAAGCTGTGGAGTCTTGTGAGCAAAAATTCAACTTTGTGAGCTCCTGGCATTGAAGTTGTGAGCCAGCAATTTGGCTACTACATAAATCAATTTGCTTTGGAGCCTTCCTTCCTGAGCTAAGACAAATAGGCTAAAAAACTGTGAGCTAGCTCACACTAACTCAGCTTAGAAGGAACACTGCCTGACGCCCCTCCCCCCCCATCACACAGGCAGCCCGGCCAGTCGGCACACGCAGAGAGAGGCGAATGTGGGGTAGGGGGTTCAGTTTGCTTTTATTATGGCCGCAGGAGGCCGGCCTTTGTGGAGCAGGCCCGCTCCTTCCCTGACTCACAGAGGCCCCAGTGCAAGCAGCAGGATGAGGCAGGCCCCCACCCAGGCCCCGGAGCAAGGCAGGGCAGGGCCTGCGGCGGTGAGACGGTCGCCAAAGAGATCCAGGAGCTGCAGGGCCACCCCGTTCGTCCAGCCAAAGCCCTCCTGCCGGAGGAGAAGCAGAAGGCCAAGCTAGGTTGGCCCCGCCGGCACCCAAGTGGGCAAAAAGGGCCCGACTCTCGCCCCACCCGAGGGGAGGGGAGGGGAGGCGGCCACAGGCGCCGGGCAGGTCGCTTTGCCTCACCTGAACGACATACTCCCCACCAGCCCCCGGGTTCCCGTCACCTTCGACATCGTACTGGAGGAAGAAGAGAAGGTGTGGGGGGGGTCAGTGGCACAGCAGCCCCACCCCCTTCGAGCAGGAGGCCCCTCTTCCGCCCCACGTGCAGCGGCCCCTGTGCCGGCTGGCCGCGGGACCAGCTTGGCCCTGCGGTGCAGAAGCGCCCCCGGCCACGAGGGAGAGGCAGGGCCGGCAGGGGGAGCGGCGGGGCCTTACCTTCTCGAACATGGCCCGGTACGTCCCGTAGACAGCCAGGTTCATTCTCACCCAGTTCTGAGCCAAGGTGAAGGCCAGCTCTCGGGCCTGGGAGGAGGATGACCGGGCCAGACCTGGCGGGCAGGAGCCAGAGGGGGTGAGGGGGGGATGCTGGAGCAGGGGACCCCCACCCCCTCGGGCTCAGACAGGAAGGGGGCCGGATGGGGTGCGTGTGGCAACTGCAGCTGCACAGAGACCTACGCGCACACGCACACACCCCGCTAGCCCACAGAACTGGCCAGCGAGCACACAGGTGTGTGGTTTGCCTGGCTGGCTGGCCGGGAAGCCCTTACCTGCAATCACCATATGCTGGAGCGGGGCCCATGCGTTTGGAAGGTCCCACTGTTGCCCCGTGCGAGCCAGTGAGGTGGGCAGTCCGTGGGCGTAGGACAGTGCTGTGCTGCTCTGTGGGCACCCCGAAAAACAGTGCCCAGGAAGGAACGGTTAGGCACTCCACAGGCCGGGTGGCGGGAAAGGGGGTGTCCGATGGGGAGGGGCACGGGAAGCAGGGTGGCTGCATGCCCAAGAGCTGCCCAATCTGCAGGCTGGGCACAGCAGCCCCCAGTGCCAGGGGTACGGGCAGAGCCAGCATGCGCACCTTCCTCGGGGCCACAAAGTGAGGTGGAAAGCAGCACCCCTCCCTCCCTCCCTCCCACCCACAGGGTGCCCCAGCTCCTCCCCACCCCTTTCACCAATGAAGGGGCAATGGCGCCACCTGCAGGCAGAGGCTGACCCACACGGTCCCAGGTCTTCTTGCACCCTGTTGCCGCCCTCTCCTCCTGCGACAACACAATCCATGGGTACCCCCTGCAGACTTTGCAGCAAGGAGGAGGAGGGTGCCCAGGCACACCTTTGCCAGGTGGGTGCCCACACTGCGAGACTCGCTGGGGCAGGCTGAGCAACTCTGCCAGGAGCCATCCAAGACCGCCTCCGTGTCCTTCGGGCAAACGCAGCTCAAGGGGGATGGGTGTTGGACGCTCTCTCACACACACACACACCAGTTTCTGCTCTGTAAATTACCCCAGCGATGGTTCCCCTCCAGGGGAGGGAAAGGCCACCCCTGCTTGTGGGCAGAGGGGAGGAATCTCCCCTTCACTGTAAAAGGAACAGACCTCAGGGTTGCTCCTTCCTCAGGGTGACTGGCTGAGAGAGTGGGAGCCTTGTGGGCCTTGGTGGAGTTCAGCAAAGTGGTGGCAGGGGGGGTTGGGGAGGGACCCAAAAGAGAGGAGAAAGTGACAGACGGCCCCAGGCATAGGGCCCCACCGAGTGCCTGAAGAGATCCAGCATCCAGGGCTGGCCCCTCTACAGTCTCTGGGAAGTCTAGGCTGATCTGCAACTTTTCATTACTTCCAACAGAAGGATTTCTTTCAGGCCTTAAAAAACCCTTAGCTGTCAGATCACTGTATTGGTGTATGATTATGGTGATGTACTGAAACGACCGTGTTGGTTTCCAGTTTCCATTTTTTTTTAAAGTAAGCCCTTTGCCTTGCAATGTTACAATGCACAGGCTTTACATTCCAGAGTTATAAGGGGGAAAGGGCAGCCTGCAGATTTCCCCACTGCAATACAAAAAAACCAAACTAGAACATGGTTGTCATAGACCATCATAGCAACCCAGTAATTCCCGGGTTTGTTTTTTGAGGGCTTCCAGTGCAAGGTAAGGAGACGGTGGATTGGTGGTGGGGTGATGCAAGACAAGTGCCGGGGGAATCTCTGGTGCTTCTGCGGCTGGCCGGCACAAAAAACCCCTTGATTTACAAGGCCGGCCAAAGGAGGGGGGGGTGCCGGATGCTCCCAGCGGGCTTACCTCAAGGTAGCGCAGGGCCTTCTCGACGTCGGCGCCCTCCAAGCCGCACTCGGCCCACAGCGGGGTCAAATTGGACGGGTAGAAGGCCCTGTTGTGCCTGCGGCGCGCCAGGTTGTAGTCCAGCCAGACGCCGGCCTCCTCGTTCCACAGGACGGCGCGCACCGCAGCCACGCGCCGCCTGTGAGCGGCTCGGAACCGCTCGGCCTTCCCGGCGTCCCCTGGAGGGAGACGGGCCGCGTGAGCCACGGAGGCGGGGAGGGAGAGGCCTGTCCGTCCGCCCGACCCCCCCCCCCCCCGCCGGGGACAGCGCCGGGGAGGGGCCCGCCCCCGCGTCGCAGAAGGCGGCCAGGAGCGCTTCCACGCGGCACAGGAGGGCGTTGAGGTCGACGGGCACGACGGCGCTGGCCTGCGTGTCTTGCAGCGTGGCCTCGACGGGCGGCGGCCCCGGCAGGAACCAGCGCGAGGAGAAGTCCCAGCCCGACTCCGCCGCGCCCTTCAGCTCGGCCCACAGCGCCTGCCGCGCCTCTGCAGACGGGGCGAGGAAGAGGAGGAGGCTCAGGGGCAGGGCCGCGGACGGCAGCCTCCTCGACGGCCCGGCCCGGCAACCCCCAGCG